TAGGTTCGACCTCGGACACTGAAACATCCGAATTCTCATCCGCATACCACTCGTCCGTCTCATCGTCATCGTCGTCACTATTAATTACTTCCTCCATAGGAGATCTCTGCCGTCCTCCAGCTCCTCCAACAGCAGTGGTGCTCCCCGGTTTCGCTTTCGCCACCAGAAAATCAAGTCGTACAAAGCACGGTGCTATACACCCGATCGCCGTATTCAGCCACAATAACCACTCCTCGACCAACTCTTCAATTCTATTCTCAATCATCCGACGAGTTTCATGATTGCCATTAAAATACCTGTACGTAGCGTCACGACTACTGAACGTCCTGAACTGTCGGAACCGACCAGAATGCATTTCCTCATTCACATATTCCGTATATCGTATGTGCTCTACTTTGCCGTTGAAGACGAAGACCCTAGGTTCGGTGACAATATCGTCGATACGATGTTGCACCATCAAAGTAGACTCCCGATTCGGTAGCGATTCCCACAGCGCTCGCGCCTTCTTCTCCAGATCGATAATACCATAAAACGACTTAACCCCTTCAGCCATCCACGAGTACCCAATTTTCACCACTCCTTTTTCCGAATACACCGACAAAGCTCTCGTGTTACTCCACAACACATCAGACTGCATTTCAAGAGCTCTCACCGCGTTCCGACAAGTTCCTGTCGGGTCTTGCATAAAATCCGCGCGTTGAATAGTCGTGGTCGGCGGGATTCTCAAGGCCGTATTAGTCGCCAACGCAGCTTGCCAAGACTTGCTGCTCAGAACTCTATAAAGTGATACCGGATTCGGCCATCTCGTCGGTATTCCCACCGACTCCATTCTTTGCATCAGATCAAACAAGCTCGAGTACTCCACATATCCCGGCTTGTGATCGCCATGAACAGCCCCCCATAGGAAGTACATCGCCGCGAGGTTCTTACACCCCGACCTCGTCAGAGTAGATCGCGCCCACGCTTCTGAGATTCTCGGCATATCAGAAGTATGTCGGATGAATGCACACCAACATTCATAGTCAGTACCGTATCTACAGTGGGGGGGAGGAATATGCACATGTGTTGGTGACAATATGGGAAATTTTGTACAGCTCTACAGTGAGTATACTCCTAAGCTCAGCTGAGGATCTCGAACGTCACGAACATATACTGAACATACATAAACATATGTTTATATATAAACATATGTTTTACATATAAACATACATCCTATGAGCATATATTCCTCCAACACTAATATCTACACATGCACGGTGTACTCCGCAAAGTTCAGCAGTTCATATTCCGCGTGAAAACTCCCCCGTTAATATTACGTAGCGTAAATACCCTCTCGCATGAGATCAGTAATAAGCTCATCAGTAACTGCCATATCGAACCTAGTATCAACCCTTCGACTGCCATCACCATAACGAACGATCAACAGGCTAAGACTAGGCGTTCGGCGCTCCTGAAATCGATCGCATCCCACACAGTGTTAATAACAATCAAACCGTCAATATTTTCAACACCTCCGAAAGTCAACTTTGAGTAATATCAACATGATAACAATGTGAATCGATTGACACCAACGTTTTAGAAGCGTTCCGTAGTCTATATTCGTATTACTCTCGAATTGAACAAAGCCATCTCAAAAATCTACATATGCATAACTGTTTGCTTCGCACTGTAGCCTACCGAGGTCGCCAATCTGATGTGCTCCATCCTCATTGACTGTCGAAGGTTATAAGCCTTGTTGCCATCCAGCATAGCCCCTCGACCATCCCCCCAAAGTGTGTGGGTGTACTCAACCACCGGCCAGGTTTCCCTCAATTCAGCGTGGTACCTGACCATGCTATTCCCCAGGCTAAAACAGTGTGGAAAAATATGCACGTGGTGGACCACATATGTTGGTGACAATATGGAATTTTTGAGGAAATTTTGCAAAATTCTTCTTGGTTTCTGTACATTTCTACCCAAGCTTGTATATGGACTCCTATAATGATTGAGGAAATTCCTAGGGTCAGCTGAGGAAAGCGATTACATATATTACAACACTGGGCTAAAATCACTGCAGATGGATCGTACTGGCTTTTATCAAAATCATCAACAATAGTAGCGTCCACCCAGCCGTCTGTCATGCCAAGACGTGGTGACACCTGCGCTTCGACACGACTGCCAACCATCATCCATCCCATATCGGGGTCGTAGTCGTTCTCTGGTATTTGCGATATGAACGCTTGCACCTAATAACAGACCAGTAGGACGGGAACTGTAGTAGTAGTAAGGTCCTCACCAGTTGGCCACGACGATAAGTCACTAATCGATCAGGCTTATTGTGAGCAACAATACACGTCGGAGGAGCCTTCCGAGGTGGTGGTCGAGTAGGAGTAGCTCGGCTCGCTTCAACTGCCACTGTCCGACTTCTTGGCGCTCGAGTGGGGGCGCGTGAAGACTCTGAGGAATCCATCAGCCAGAAGAAAAAGAAGTCCCAACCCTGCGAGAGGAATATCAAAGTGGTATTATATGACCTAACTCTGAAGACCTTTGGGGTACAACATACTATCCAAAGCACTCTTTTGTTAGAGCGAAGGCTAACCTCAAAGAGCACGTCCAGACTCCGTCACTAAATTCACATCACTATCACTTTTTCGCCTGCCATTTTCCAGACTTCGTCGAATAATCAAGGCCCCTCAAAAGGCTATTCCTTCAGTCTCGACCGTCAAGTCGTTAATATAATTCAGCAAATTATCCAGGAACCTATAATGTTCCCGAGGGGGAACTCATTTTGATTTTTCCACGATGGCTAGGAACACATTCTTTCATCAGTTTCCCATGTAAATGTCATCATCACATTAGCAACATTTT